GGAGTCGGAGTGAGAGAGAGTGTTTTACCCCAGCAGTAATTATTAGAGAGCTGCTAGAACTTTTAGAACGGCCTGTGCAGAACATAGCTTGTACATCTCCCCCCCTTTAATACCAGTCACTGTAATGCCACCTATATTGTGGCCTATGCTGCACAGGTGTCAACTCCTGTCACCCTATTAAAAGAACAGCAATAGAGGTGGCCTTACAGTGACTGGTATTAGACTTGGTTCACATTAGCCAGTGTTCTGAAAAGCCATCCATGATGAATCACATTGTAGAGTGCAACTAAGGAGCTAAGGTCAGGCATTCAGGTGCTCTGGGGGCCCTGACATAAGTGGGAAGGGGAGTGACTCTAGGGACCCTAATGTATGAGGGGGGGGCTCTTGGGACACTAATTCTAAGCAGAAGGAAGGCCTTGATGTAAAGGGGAACTCTGGGGACCTGATATAACTAGGGAAACCTTGGGGGCCATCCTTTAAGGGAGTGACTCTAGGGACCCTGTGTGCTCTGGGGACCCTTATGTCAGAGTGGGTGACACTGGGAACAAGAGTCTTTACGGCAGGCTCAGACAGACCAGGTGATCACTTTTTTGTGCAGAAAAGCATAGGTGATGGAATCGTTTAAATATTTAAAAATGATCTTTCATTCTACAGGTGAAACTGAAAAAATTAGAATATCATGCAAAAGTTCATTTATTTCAGTAATGCAACTTAAAAGGTGAAACTAATATATGAGATAGACTCATTACATGCAAAGCAAGATAGTTCAAGCCATGATTTGTCATAATTGTGATGATTAAGGCTTACAGCTCATGAAAACCCCAAATCCACAATCTCAGAAAATTAGAATATGACATGCAATCAATAAAACAAGGATTGTACATATATCGGACCTCTGAAAAGTATAAGCATGCATATGTACTCAGTACTTGGTTTGGGCCCCTTTTGCAGCAATTACTGCCTCAACGCGGCGTGGCATGGAAGCTATCAGCCTGTGGCACTGCTGAGGTGTTATGGAAGACCAGGATGCTTCAATAGCAGCCTTCAGCTCTTCTGTATTGTTCGGTCTCATGTTTCTCATCTTTCTCTTGGCAATGCCCCATAGATTCTCTATGGAGTTAAGGTCAGGCAAGTTTGCTGGCCAATCAAGCACAGTAATCCCACAGTCATTGAACCAGGTTTTGGTGCTTTTGGCAGTGTGGGCAGGTGCCAAGTCCTGCTGGAAAATGAAGTCAGCATCCCCATAAAGCTGGTCTGTGGAAGAAAGCATTAAGTGCTCCAAAATCTCCTGGTAGACGGCTGCATTGACCCTGGACTTAATGAAGCACATTGGACCAACACCAGCAGATGACATGGCTTCCCAAATCAACACAGACTGGGGAAACTTCACACTGGACTTCAAGCATCTTGCAGTGTGTGCCTCTCCATTCTTCCTCCATACTCTGGGTCGGTTTCCAAACGAGATGCACAAGTTGCTCTCATCAGAAAAGAGGACTTTGGACCATTGAGCAACAGACCAGGTCTGTTTTTCTTTAGACCAGGTAAGACGCTTCTGACGTTGTTTGTTGTTCAGGAGCGGCTTGACAAGAGGAATAGAACATTTAAAGCCCATGTCCAGGATCCGTCTGTGTGTGGTGGCTCTTGATGCACTGACTCCAGCCTCAGTCCACTCCTTGTGAAAGTCCCCAATACCTTTTGAATGGCCTTTTCCTGACAATCCTCTCCAGGCAGTGCCCAAGTGCTCGAATGGTCAGTCCGCCCCTGTTCCTGACAATCCTCTCCAGTCTGCGGTCATCCCTGCTGCTAGTGCACCTTTTTCTTCCACACTTTTCCCTTTCACATAACTTTCTATTAATGTGCTTTGATACAGCACTTTGGGAACATCCAGCTTCTTTTGCAATTACCTTTTGAGGCTTTCCCTCCGTATGGAGGGTGTCAATGATGGTTTTCTGCACATCTGTCAGGTCAGCAGTCTTTCCCATGATTGTGATTCCTACTGAACCAGACTGAGAGACCATTTGAAGGCTCAGGAACCCTTTGCAGGTGTTATGGCTGATTAGAGTGGGACACTTTGCGCCTAGAATATTGCACCTTTTCACAATATTCTAATTTTCTGAGATTGTGGATTTGGGGTTTTCATGAGCTATAAGCCATAATCATCACAGTTATGACAAATCACGGCTTGAACTATCTTGCTTTGCATGTAATGAGTCAATCTCATATATTAGTTTTACCTTTTAAGTTGCATTACTGAAATAAATGAACTTTAGCACAATATTCAAATTTTTTGCGTTTCACCTGTAATGTTTATGTGTATCTGTGAGATTGTCACTTGTGACATAGTAAGTAGGAGTATTTTCTGGGTACAAGGACTGATTGTGCAGTGTATACATCGACTAAATACAGATTCTGTTTAATCATCCCCCTTAAGCCCCTCCCACTGTTAGGCAAAATCCGTCCTCTGCATCACTTACTGCTGAACTTTGAACTCTGCCGCATCTACTACTGAGCCTGCGCTCTGCCCTGCTGACCCCTGTACACTGCCCTACAAACTAATGGCCTCTGTACACTGCTCTACAAACTGCTGACCCTATCCTTTACCCTGCTTATCCCCTGTACACTGGCCTGATGACTTCCCATCTTCTGCCCCCTAACATTTTTTTACTGCACCCCCACATCAGACAGGCTATATCCAGCCCTGTGAGTAGGGAGCTGCAATAGTTGGGCGAGAGATAACCAGAGCTCAAGTAAGTAAGTAGCTTTGCAGTGTCATTGGTTAAAAGGGGCATATTTTGGAGATATTTACCAATAGTCGGTTAGGAACAGAAAGCTAAATACTTGTGTTAAAGAGAATAACAAAAAATAAAAAGGTAAAAATAACATTTCCAATAAGATTATCAGTGCATTTAACATACTTTATTCTTGTTATTTATCTATAAATGCCTCCATAAGCCCTGTGACTGCTGATGGTTGCCACCATGTAGGATATGGTGTGAGCAGTCCCAGCAGACTCAGAGCTGTCACTCCAGGGACATTCTATAGCTTTTCCTGCACTCCACCCCCGGCAACTGCATAAAAGTTTATGTAAAGTGAGGGGAGATGTGGAGGAGCTTGATCAGCACAGACAGTAATTAGACACTCCTAGACGAGAGGGCCAATACATGAAATGAGGCAGGTGGCTTTGGTAGGGAACTGACTTTCCTGGAGAGTCCTTTTTCTGGGTATTTTTAAGTTGGTAACAGAAACATTGTGAATTGAGCCTATAGTCAAAACAAAAAACAGTCAAACCTTGCAAACACTGGTTAATTATTTATAATGCTGTATGTTTATTACATGAAAGCTCAGTTCTAAAATTTGACAGTCTCTGCGAGGGCTGACCGCGCACCCCAGCTCTAAATCTTGAGTTCACAAATTATTAACAAGATGCAAGTTTTTCAAAAAACTCCAAAAAAGGTAAAATTCAAAAAATCAAACTCCAAAGTCATCAAACTACATAAACTGTCACCTAGAAAGATGACACCTATGACATATAGCTATTCATTAAAATAACATGATTCTACTGTCCAGTTTTATTTTACACTGAATGATTGTTTATAATGTTGAAAACTTTGACTGCTGCTTCCATGCAGTTTTCCGGCAGGATACTGGACCAGCATCAAGATGATAATCAAAAGCTAGCTGCTCTCAATATTTTTTTCAATGCGAAGTGCAGTGCTAATGCTGGGAGTAAAACTGTGGCAGCCTAGTTCCTGGAGCCAAATCTCACGTTATATTATAAACAAACATAACATAATGATACACGCTAGTCAGAACATTAAATATTTGATGATATATAGGAACCATGCATGGTATAATAAGAACACAGATTGCAGGCCCTTTTAGGCACATTGGGGTTTATTTACTAAAGATGGAGAATGCAAAATCAGGCTCACTTCTGCATAGAAACCAATCAGCTTCCAGGTTTTATTACCAAAGCTTGACCACTTCTTACCACCCTTTAGCAGGAATAATGCTACAGGGAGGCACGGGTGCGCAAAATCACGTATACCTACCCGCGCCACCATTCGCGGCCCGTGATTTCTTGCCAGCACCCGGTGATCACCGAGTATTACCAATGGGGAGAGACCTGTGTATAAACAACACAAATCTCTCCCCTGTCAGCTCCTGCACACTGCTTTGTATGGCTCTGCATAGCAGAGCCATACCAGGCAGTGTGCTTACAGTGTAAAACACACAGCACACAGTTAACCCTTTGATTGCCCCACATGTTAACTCTTTCCTGCCCAGTGCCCTTACTACAGTGTCAGTGACACCAAGTCAGTTCCCCCCAGTGTCAGAATGCCCGCCGCAGTCCAGCTATAAGTCGCTAATCGCCACCATTACTAGTAAAAAAGAAACCCTGTATATATACCGCCATTTGTAAACGCTATAACTTTCACGTAAACCAAATAATTTTTTACAAATTGGGATTTTTTTTAGCAAAGACATGTATTTGTATGTATTTTGGCCAACCATGTGCACCCCATGGTGCAGACATTGTTTCCAGGCGACAATGCCATTTACCAAGGTAATAATTCTTCGACTGACACAGCTGGTGTTGTCAAATTTTGGTTTGATGAGCATGCAGATGAAGTCTCACACCTTCACTGGGCACCACAGTCGCCAAACCTCAATATCATAGAACCACTATGGTCAATTCTGTAGAACAAGGCTTGGGTTCATTTTCCGCCTCTAGCATCTCTGGGAGAAGTGCAACTATTTTTGCATGAAGAGTGGTATCAGATTCCATTGTCCACCAACCAAGACTTATATTTGCCAATTCCCAGGAGAATTCAGGCCATCATGGATGCCAAAAGGTGGTCTAACCAGTGGTGTATTTTGGTTTTGTGCTGCCCTAGGCAAGACTAAAATCGGGCATCCCCCGCATCTAAATTTGCCCCACCCTTTTATCTGCAAACTCCGCCCCTTCCTCTTTGGGCTCCACCTCTTCCTATTAGAGCTCCGCCCACTGACAACGATGAGGCGCTATTCCTCCCACTGACACCAATGATGGGGTACAATTCCTCCCACTGACACTAATGATGGGGCACTATTCCTCCACTGACACCAATGATGGGGCACTATTCCTCCCACTGACACTAATGATGGGGCACTATTCCTCCACTGACACTAATGATGGGGCACTATTCCTCCCACTGACACCAATGTGTCCGGTGTCCCATCATTAGTGTCAGTGTGTGAGGAATAGTGCCCTATCATTGGTATCAGTGGGAGGAATAGTGCCCCATCATTGGTATCAGTGGGAGGAATAGTGCCCCATCATTGGTATCAGTGGGAGGAATAGTGTGGTATCATGCCCCATCATTGGTATCAGTGGGAGGAATCGTGCCCCATCATTGGTATCAGTGGGAGGAATCGTGCCCCATCATTGGTATCAGTGGGAGGAATCGTGCCCCATCATTGGTATCAGTGGGAGGAATTGTGCCCCATCATTGGTGTCAGGGGGAGGAATAGTGCCCCATCAATGTTATCAGTGGGAGGAATTGTGCCCCATCATTGGTGTTAGTGGGAGGAAAAGTGCCTCCTCATTGGTGTCAGTGGGAGGAAAAGTGCCCCCTCATTGGTGTCAGTGACATCAATGAAGGGGCACTATTCCTCCCACACTGACAACAATGAAGGGGCACTATTCCTCCCACACTGACACCAATGAAGGGGCACTATTCCTCCCACACTGACACCAATGAAGGGGCACTGTTCCTCCCACACTGACACTAATGATGGGGCACTATTACTCCCACTGACACCAATTATACTTACATCGCTGTGCTGACCCCTGATCCAGCCCGGGCTCCCTCCTTCAGACACAGACACTTACCCATCAGCTGTCTTCCTTCTCCAGCCACTCTCCTCCTCTTCACCAGCTCCAGCTGCTCCCTCACTCGATCTTCAATCTTCGCGCTGCCACTCAGCTCCTCCTCTCCAAGCTCCGCTTTCTCGCATGTGATTGGCCGCCTGTGTGCCTTTTCTGAGCTACAGATCTGGCGGCCAATCACTGGCAAGGAGGCGAAGCTTGCAGAGGGAAGGACAGGCTGCCATAGGCTGCCCAGTGATCCCAGGGGTGTGACCAGATTAGAGGGACGGCTTGTCATCCCGCCCCACATCGCGATCAAGATCTAGGAAGATTAAGACACCGGACGGACACCGTCTGCACCCCTCCTCCAGCAGTGCCTTGTGGACCGGATCGACGTAGGACGCGAAGTCAGGTAAGACACAGTAGCCCCTGTCCCTTTCCCACGGTAGTGTCCCTTCCACAGGGAAAGGGGGGGGGGGGGGCGGCACTGCAGAGGGACAGGTGAGGGGCAGTGGGACAGGAGAAGCTCAGAGGGACAGGTAGGGGGCAGCGTGAAGGAGCCATGGGACAGGATCGGGGTAGTGGGACAGGAGAAGCACAGTGGGACAGGAGAAGCGCAGAAGGATAGGTGAGGGGAAGTGGGACAGGAGGAGCGCAGAGGGACAGGTGAGGGGCAGTGGGACGGGTGAGGGGCAGTGGGACAGGAGGAGCACAGTGGGACAGGTGAGGGGCAGTGGGACAGGAGGAGAGCAGTGGGACAGGTGAGGGGCAGTGGGACAGGTAAGGGGCAGTGGGACAGGTGAGGGGCAGTGGGACAGGAGGAGCACAGTGGGACAGGTGAGGGGCAGATGGACAGGAGGGGCAGAGGACAGACGCAGAGGGACAGGTGAGCGGCAGATGGACAGGTGGGGGGCAGTGGGGACAGGTGGGGGGCAGTGGGACAATGTGGGGGACAGGAGGGGGAAGTGGAACAGGTGGGGGGCAGTGTATCAGGGGACAGTGTGACAGGAGTGGGGATGCACCAGTCCTCCAAGCACTTACCTGTCCAGCAGGGGCTCCTCCAGATGGCGCACCTTCTCCCTCAGGTTCTCCGGCGGCTGCAAAAGAGCAGGTGGGCTCTGCCCCCCTGACCTCATCCTGTTCTGCTTCCTCCTTCTGGCCTTCTTGCACATCCCAGGCCTGGCACACTGACAGCGGGACCCGCACCTCATGCGCTCTGAGCGCACACTGGGGATCCGCCCACCAGTCTGCTCTCCTCTGCAGCCAGTGACATGCGCAGATGCGTTAGGGGGACAGATCTTCATGGGGGGACAGATCTTGCCGCTGCACCGGTCCATCAGCCATGGTGGCCCTGCCCCTGTCCCTTTCCCACGGACACTGCTGCCGTGCCACCCCCCTGAAAAGTGCCGCCCTAGGCAACTGCCTAGTGTGCCTCGCAGCAAATACGCCCCTGGGTCTAACACTATATTTGGTAATGATCTTGTACTTTTATCTGGCGTTTCCATGATTTTGTCATATATATATATATATTTATATATACATACACACACACACACACACACACACACACACACACACACAGTATTTCACAGAAGTGAGTCCCCCCCTCACAATTTTTTAAATATTTTTATTATATCTTTCCATGTCACAACACTGAAGAAATGATACTTTGCTACAATGTAAAGTAGTGAATTTACAGCTTGTAGAACAGTAAATTTGCTGTTCCCTCAAAATAACTCAACATGCAGCCATTGTCTAAACCGCTGGCAACAAAAGTGAATACACCCCTAAGTGAGAATGTCCAAATTGGGCCCAATTAGCCATTTTCCCTCCAGGGTGTCATGTAACTCGTTAGTGTTACAAGGTCCCAGGTCTGAATGGGGAGCAGGTATGTTAAATTTGTTGTTATCACTCTCACTCTCTTATACTGGTCACTGGACAACATGGCACCTCATGGCAAAGAACTCTCTTAGGATCTGAAAAAAAGAATTGTTGCTCTACATAAAGATGGCCTAGGCTATAAGAAGATTGCCAAGACCCTGAAACTGTGCTGCAGCACGGTGGCCAAGACCATACAGTGGTTTAACAGGACAGGTTCCACTCAGAACAGAAGTGGAGTGCACGTGCTCAGCGTCATATTCAGAGGTTGTCTTTGGGAAATAGATGTATGAGTGCTGCCAGCATTGCTGCAGAGGTTGAAGGGGTGGGGGGTCAGCCTGTCAGTGCTCAGACCATATGCTGCACACTGCATCAAATTGGTATGCATGGCTGTTGTCCCAGAAGGAAGCCTCTTCTAAAGATGATGCACAAGAAAGCCCACAAACAGTTTGCTGAAGATATTACTGGAACCATGTCCTGTGATCTGATGAGACCAAGATAAACTGATTTTCTTCAGATGGTGTCAAGCGTGTGTGGCAGCACTCAGATGAGGAGTACAAAGACAAGTGTGTCTTGCCTACAGTCAAGCATGGTGGTGGGAGTGTCATGGTCTGGGGCTGCATGAGTGCTGCCGGTACTGGGGAGCTAAAGTTCATTGAGGGAACCATGAATGCCAACATGTACTGTGACATACTGAAGCAGAGAATGATTCCCTCCCTTCAGAAACTGGGATGCAAGGAAGTATTCCAACATGATAATGACCACAAACACACCTCCAAGATGACCATTGCCTTACTAAAGAAGCTGAGGGTAAAGGTGATGGACTGGCCAAGCATGTCTCAAGACCTTAATCCCATTGAGCATCTGTGGGGCATCCTCAAACAGCGCAAGGTCTCTTCCACCAGCTCCATGATTTCATCATAGAGGAGTAGAAGAGGACTCCAGTGGCAACCTGTGAAGCTCTGGTGAACTCCATACCCAAGAGGGTTAAGGCAGTGCTGGAAAATAATGGTGGCCACACAACATATTGACCCTTTGGGCCCAATTTGGACATTTTCACTTAGGGGTGTACTCACTTTTGTTGCCAGCGGTTTAGACATTAATGGCTGTGTGTTGAGTTATTTTGAGGGGACAACAAATTTACATTGTTATACAAGCTGTACACTCACTACTTTACATTGTAGCAAAGTGTCATTTCTTCAGTGTTGTCACATGAAAAGATATAATAAACTATTTACAAACATGTGAGGGGTGTACTCACATCTGGAAGATACTGTACATATATACACACACACACATATATACACATACATACACACACACACACACACACACACACACACACACACACACACACACACACACACACACAGTGCATCCAGAAAGTATTCACAGTGATAACTTTTGCCACATTTTGTTTTGTTACAGCCTTATTCCAAAATGGATTAAATTCATTTTTTTCTCAACATTCTACAAACAATATTCCATAATGACAACGTGAAAGAAGTTCATTTTGAAATCTTTGCAATTTATTAAAAAAAAAAAACAAAAAAAAAAAAACACATGTACATAAGTATTCACAGCCTTTACCATGACACTCAAAATTGAGCTCTGGTGCATCCTGTTCCCACTGATTCTCCTTGAGATGTTTCCACAACTTGATTGGAGTGCACTTGTGGGAAATTCAGTTGATTGGACATGATTATGAAAGGCATAAACATGTCTATATAAGGTCCCACAGTTAACAGTGCATGTTAGAGCACAAACCAAGCCATGAAGTCCAAGGAACCTCCGAGACAGGATTGTATCAAGACACAGATCTGGGGAAGGGTACAGAAAAATTTCTGCAGCATTGAAGGTTCCAATGAGCACAGTGGCCTCCATCATCCATAAATGGAAGAAGTTTGGAACCACAAGGAATCTTCCTAGAGTGGGCCACCCGGCCAAAATGAGTGATCGAAGGAGAAGGGCCTTAGCCAGGGAGGTAACCAAGCACCCGATGGTCACTCTGAAAGAGCTCCAGCGTTTCTCTGTGGAGAGAGGAGAAACTTCCAGAAGATCAACCATCTCTGCAGCACGCCACCAATACAGCCTGTATGGTAGAGTGACCAGATGGAAGCCACTCCTAAGTAAAAGACAAATGGCAGCCCGCCTGGAGTTTGCCAAAAGGTACCTGAGGGACTCTCAGACCATGAGAAACAAAACTCTCTGGTCTGATGCAACAAAGATTGAACTCTTTGGCCTGAATGCCAAACTTCATGTCTGGAGGAAACCAGGCACCGCTCACCACCTGGCCAATACCATCCCTACAGTGAAGCACAGTGGTGGCAGCATCATGCTGTGGGGATGTTTTTCAGCGGCAGGAACTTGGAGACTAGTCAGGATTGAAGGAAAGATGAATGCAGCAATGTACAGACACACCCTTGATGAATCCTGTTCC